GATTCCAGCAGTACTGTGCAGAGTGAGGGAGAGCGGGGTCCATCTCCTGCTAGTGGCTCCATTCTGGCCGTCCCAGACGTGGTTCTCGGAGCTGATTTCTCTTCTGGATCGCTCTCCGTGGGAGATTCCAATCAGAAGAGATTTGCTGTCTCAGCTTCAAGGCAAGATCTGGCACCCTCAACCCGAGATCTGGAAGCTGTGGGTATGGCCCATCAAAGGCCACCAGCTTTGACTTCTAGTCTTCCTGCCGATGTTCAGGAGACTATTGCTAGTGCCAGAGCCCTTTTTTGAGTCATGGTGCTTAGCTCATGCAGTGGACCCAGTCAGCTGCCCTATAGGTTCAGTACTGGAGTTCCTACAAGAAAAACTTGTGGCAGGGGCGGCTGCTACTACCCTGAGAGTTTATGTTGCGGCCATCGCCACACGGAGAATCGGATGACATTCCCCTGGGGAGACATCGGTTGGTCTCAGCGTTTATGCGTGGAGTTCAGCATCTGAGACCAGCACGCCCCTTGGAGTTCCTTTTTGGGACTTATCAGTCATCCTGGAGGGCTTAATGGAAGCTCCTTTTGAGCCCTTGGAGTCAGCTCCAGAACGGATTCTGACTCTCAAGGTTGTTTTTTTTGTTGGCGTTAACTTCGTTGAAGCAAGTTGGGGATTTGCAAGCTCTCTCGGTCAGCGAGGTGTGTATGGACTTCGCCCCGGGTCTGGTTAAAGTAACCTTATGACCCAGACAAGAATATATGTTCCCAAGGTTTTGTCTGCATCTTTTCGCTCTCAGGTGGTGACCCTTCACTCTTTCCATCCTCCTCCTTTTGCTTCAGGGGAGGATGAGAGACTTCACATGCTCTGCCCTGTCCGAGCTTTGAAGCTCTATGTGGATCGTTCTAGCCAGTGGAGGAAATCTCCGCAGTTGTTAGTATGCTTTGGTGCTGGCCGCCGTGGGCTTGCTGCATTGAAGCATAGAATTTCGCACTGGGTTAGGGACGCTATTTCGCTGGCATACGAGGTGCGTGGTCTTTCTTCACCTCTCAGCATTCGGGCGCATTCCACCAGGGCTGTGGCTTCCTCTCAAGCTCTTTTTAGGGGAGTCCCTCTAGAGCAGTGGTTCTCACACTTTTTACAGCGGCGTACACCCTGGGGCATTTAACATTCTTCTGCGTACCCCCTCTCTTCCACTAAGACCGCAGTTACACCTTTTCTATTAAAGGACAATATTTGCCCCCTTAAATTGATTTACAGGTGCATTTTTTTCCTTTATAGAGGCAAATATTTCATGTCCTTATTAAGTGTATGTCATGTTTTATGTTATATTCTTAACATTCTATTAAGTGTATTATTAATATAATAAATAAAGCAATAAATGATGGCAAATCGAAGTGATACTTGTAGATTTAAAAATAAAACCACCAATAGGTGGCAGCAATTCCCTTCTTAATGAGTCAGGTGTCACGTCATTCATTCAGTAACGAAGCAAAATGCTGTAGTTATGAATGGGTTATTAATCACTCCAAAATCATTCAAAGCCGCAGATTCGTTGACTAATGAAACACCGCTGTATGTTGCTTGGAGACGCACACCATATGATGTGGATTTTGTTGGAACTATTATTTCATTGCGAAATAGAACAAACATGACAATATTCTGTTTAAAATGTAGGCTACATTTAAAATGTAAAATGTTCACTTAACATTACCTTTTTTTTATGTTGAACTGTTGTAAAAAATTAATGGCACATTTGCCATCATTTGTATATTCAGGGAAATTTTCATTCTTGCTCGTATCTTAAAAATGAAACAATAACATGCACAGAGTGTGTCTGTATCGAAGAGTTTAAATCGATCTCAGTCCGTGTCAATATTTGCTCTTCATGCTATTAAGTAAAGATCTTCTTTAAGATACATTGAACAGCAGCGCGATTTGCTAAAGCAGCATATTCAGCAGGTATGCTATCACGTGCATGCTGCTTGTGTGGATGCAGCCAGTTTTGCCCGCAAAAGATGAGGTAAGCTGATTGGATATCATGTATTTAACCGTTTACGGCACTCCCATTTTCCTGTTTTTACATTAGAAGCGGCCTTTTGCTTGTCAGGAATACATGTTCGGTTTTAATGTTACTTTAAGTTGGGGTAGAATTAAATGAATGCCAAAACTCAGAATTTTGTTCGCATACCCCCCACCGTCATCTCACGTACCCCCAGGGGTACGCGTACCCCAGTTTGAGAACCACTGCTATAGAGGATATTTGTGTAGCGGCAGGATGGTCCTCTCCGCACACTTTTATCAGGTTCTATCATTTGGATCTTGACACGGCTCCTAGTTCCCGGGTTGTGTCCGCTTGAACCAGCCAGGGATACAATCTGGTTCTTCATCGGGCCAGATACAGCAACGCTTAAGCATAGCGTGTTTGGCATATCGTTCCCATTGTGTCATAGCGACGCAGCGTTGAGTGAACCTATGAAAGAGAACGTCTCGGGTTACTTGAGTAACCCATGTTCTCTGAATAGGGAACAAGATGCTGCGTCTGCTGCCAAGCTCCTCACGCTGCCAACAAGAGGTCTTTTTCGGCAGAGAAATCTGAGGGACAGATGGCGCGTTCGCCAGTATAAGGATGGCGACGCAAGAGCGTGGGGCGGCGCCCGCGCGATCAGCCAATGAATTGGCGTGATTCTATACAGGCTTCAGACAATCGGCACGCCTAGAGGGCGTTCCCATTGCATCATAGCGACGCAGTGTCTCGTTCCCTATTCAAAGAACATGGGTTACGCAAGTAACCCGAGACGTTTTCTTATGTTGGAATAAAAGTCTTCGTACCAGATGAAGTGGCTCCTATGCTAACCCAAAGATACAAAATTGAAGAAAGAGTTCAAACTGAACACAATCTTGCTGCTCAAATTGTGTATAGAACAATATTTAATATTAATCTGCTGCTTTTATATTTTGAATTGACTTGTACTTTTACTTTCAATATTTAATTTTAATATAAAAAAATACGTTTCATACTTAAATACAATAAATTCTTTTACTGTAAAAACTTAAAACATTTTATGTAATATTACAAACTGTGACTTTAACTTCTATCAAAGTCATTTTCTGGTAAGATATCTATACTTCTACTTAAGTGTGGTTTTCAAGTACTTTATCCAGCACTGCTCGTAACCTTAGAAAAAAGTGTGAAGACATGCCAGTGCATCCACACACACACATTTCTATCTTAAAATATGCAAGGTTTGCAGCAGAGGTTACAACTTGTATGTTTTTCTAATCAGCTTCAGAAGACGTTTTTAGAAGAATTTCTCATTGCTTCAGTAGAAACAGTTTCCACTAACAGGAAGTGTGGTAAATGTGGCAACTTGATCTATATACACAGAAATGACCTATGAATACGCATTTGAGTAACCATCAATGCCATATGCATAGCAGCCAATATATACAGTGGGTACGGAAAGTATTCAGACCCCCTTAAATTTTTCCCTCTTTGTTATATTGCAGCCATTTGCTAAAATCATTTAAGTTATTTTTTTTTCCTCATTAATGTACACACAGCACCCCATATTGACAGAAAAACACAGAATTGTTGACATTTTTGCAGATTTATTAAAAAAGAAAAACTGAAATATCACATGGTCCTAAGTATTCAGACCCTTTGCTGTGACACTCATATATTTAACTCAGGGGCTGTCCATTTCTTCTGATCATCCTGGAGATGGTTCTACACCTTCATTTGAGTCAAGCTGTGTTTGATTATACTGATCCGTACCCACTGTATTCATCTGTATAATGCTGTCTAAACTGTGAACACAATATAAAAAAGTTTTCAGTTAAAACAATATCTGATTGATGACCATGTGCCGTCAGAGGAAGATTGAGGTTTTGAAAACGAAAAAACATGGTTAACCAACCATGATCTGTAAATCTGTATTAAGCTGCTAACTTACCAAGAAGAGGTTGAGTAATAATGTTCATGGCAAAGAGCCATTTTAAACATAACATACACAAATATATTTCAAATATTTTATAACATATAACATTGCCAGTATGAAAGACAAAGTAAAAGTGCCTTAAAACATCAGAGCAAAAGTGTTTCTTATGTGCCCATAGTACTACATCACTTTAAGAAGCTTCAATTTAGCAGTAGCAAATAGCTGACTGATTATGCACATTCAGATTTCACATGCAAACACTCTTGCCAAAAATACCAAAATAAACACACTTGTACACTGAGTAACCATTTGTAGGGATTTGCTTTGGAAAGCTGAGCAACCTTTTGATTAAGGCAGACTTATTTGACGTAAATACTACAAAAAAGTACCTTTCTTTAAATGTTCATAAACTGGACTCACTACTGAGTCTGAGAAACTCTCCCAAGCAAGCAAAAATCACAAGGTATTTTCCCTTCATCCTCCATAGAGAATATTATATATTACCCATTGATGACTGCATAGTAAACCTTTGAAGGGGTCATGAACTGAGAAATTCCCTTGATGTTTTGACATATAAGAGGACATTGTACTATAAAAACATCCTGAACTCAAAACTTTCTTGTTAGTCTAAAACAGCTTAAATTGAAGCCAATCTGCCAAAACGACAGGTTGTGGAATGTTCCACTTAATGATGTAATAGTGTGGCTAAACACCACCTCCGCAGAAGATGATCAACACCTGCTGCTACATCACTGCCTGTTTAGCCCCGCCAACCGATGTGCACACATAATGTAAATAACGAGAGAGGCAAACACAGGTCTAGACAGAAACCAAACGATAAAGATTACTCTGAAAACAACAAGACACTGTGCAGTGCCAAGTTGTTGAAAAACAGTCTTTGCATTGCCTTCCTCCTGATCCCAACATTAGGAAAGAGTGGATGAACTTTATTTTTAATGTCCCAGACCGTGTCAGTAAGAACTTGGTCCTTTGTTCAGTTCATTTTACCGCGGATTTGTTTACAAACAAGGCATAATTTTACGCAGGATTTTCAGAAACAATGAAACTAAAAGACGATGCTGTGCCGACTATATTGGATCCGACAGTAACGTCGCACCACACAAGTGTGAGTAACTGTTTTTATTACGTGCTCACTATTGTTAAACAAAACGTTTGATATGTACTGAGTATTTAACCTAAATCTCAGCAGCGTCCATCGATGAAGGATGTAGGCTCTCAAACATGCACAACTGTTAGCCAATCATAACGGTGGGCGTTAACTTCTGAGTCAACTATCTGCCAAACCTATTCAAATGTAGTGTTCTGATGAGGTGGGGTCAAACAGGACAGTAAATACCGTATTACTTCTAAATGATGTTTTTTCATGTACAAATCTTGATAACATTATTAGTGGACCTCAGAGAACTGTACAAAATAATAGAAAAGGCAGTTCATGACCCATTTAACAGTGTCTATGGAAAAGATCAGGGCAGCGAGAGTGCTTTGGCCAATCGCATCCAGAACCAGTCCTGTGTGCGGGGTCTGGTGTAATCACAGATGGTCAGAAAACGGAGAATGCTGGGAAAAGGCCTCTTCATGGATTTGTAGACAACAGGGATTAGACGTTTAGAGCGAGCTCCTGCAGCAGAGACAAAAGTCAAACACACCTGCTGCTACATCACTGCCTGTTTAGCCCCGCCCACCGATGTGCACACATAATGTAAATAACGAGAGAGGCAAACACAGGTCTACACAGAAACCAAACGATAAAGATTACTCTGAAAACAACAAGACACTGTGCAGTGCCAAGTTGTTGAAAAACAGTCTTTGCATTGCCTTCCTCCTGATCCCAACATTAGGAAAGAGTGGATGAACTTTATTTTTAATGTCCCAGACCGTGTCAGTAAGAACTTGGTCCTTTGTTCAGTTCATTTTACCGCGGATTTGTTTACAAACAAGGCATAATTCTACGCAGGATTTTCAGAAACAATGAAACTAAAAGACGATGCTGTGCCGACTATATTGGATCCGACAGTAACGTCGCACCACACAAGTGTGAGTAACTGTTTTTATTACGTGCTCACTATTGCATTGTCTGTTAAACAAAACGTTTGATATGTACTGAGTATTTAACCTAAATCTCAGCAGCGTCCATCGATGAAGGATGTAGGCTCTCAAACATGCACAACTGTTAGCCAATCATAACGGTGGGCGTTAACTTCTGAGTCAACTATCTGCCAAACCTATTCAAATGTAGTGTTCTGATGAGGTGGGGTCAAACAGGACAGTAAATACCGTATTACTTCTAAATGATGTTTTTTCATGTACAAATCTTGATAACATTATTAGTGGACCTCAGAGAACAGTACAAAATAATAGAAAAGGCAGTTCATGACCCATTTAACAGTGTCTATGGAAAAGATCAGGGCAGCGAGAGTGCTTTGGCCAATCGCATCCAGAACCAGTCCTGTGTGCGGGGTCTGGTGTAATCACAGATGGTCAGAAAACGGAGAATGCTGGGAAAAGGCCTCTTCATGGATTTGTAGACAACAGGGATTAGACGTTTAGAGCGAGCTCCTGCAGCAGAGACAAAAGTCAAACTGTTACATATTAGGAACTTCACAGGAAATAAGAGTTTCTATGCTGCTTTTATAGCTGCATTATCCTTCGGTTTTAATGACATGAAATGCATTGTTTAGCACAGCTTAGAGCAGATATATCACAACAACTGCAGATTTCAATGACTGAAATATAGCTCCAAGCAGTAATGGTGGGCTCAATCTTTAGGAAACCAATGCACCTGCTTTTAAGCAGGTAAATATAGGAGGACTATTTCAAAACCGTTGTAAAAGACAAACTTTCTGCTGCTAGGAGGCGCTATGACAGTTACCCACAATTGTAATGTCCATATGTTCAGCCTCCATGACCAAACATACAGCTCAAGTTTGCTCTAAATCACTCAAAATTTATGGCTAACAATTCTGCTGTGCATTCCAAATTTCAGGTTTAAGCATACTAAGCACCTCAAAAACAAAAACCTTGACAAAGAATCTTAGAAGAACAATAGGGCCCTTCGAACAGTGCTTGGGCCCTAATAAGCTAAAAATAAAAATGGCAATGCAACTCAAATAAATATTAAGAAAAATGCTGTACCTGGGCAAAGGCTGAGTGCAAACTTAGTCTGAAAATCACATGCATCACTGTCCAGATAGTCATCAGAAATGACCACCACCATCCTCTTGCACCTAAAGGGCAAAAAAAAAAAGTTATTACAACTGATTACAAACATTTAAAGATATTTGACAATTCATCAAGAATTTATAAACGCACAGACATTACAATTTTTCAAAACCTTGACAAAGAATCTTAGAAGAACAATAGGGCCCTTCGAACAGTGCTTGGGCCCTAATAAGCTAAAAATAAAAATGGCAATGCAACTCAAATAAATATTAAGAAAAATGCTGTACCTGGGCAAAGGCTGAGTGCAAACTTAGTCTGAAAATCACATGCATCACTGTCCAGATAGTCATCAGAAATGACCACCACCATCCTCTTGCACCTAAAGGGCAAAAAAAAAAAGTTATTACAACTGATTACAAACATTTAAAGATATTTGACAATTCATCAAGAATTTATAAACGCACAGACATTACAATTGTGCTGGCCAATACCAAAAGCATAAACAATAAATGACTGATATTAATATTATATACTATTTTGTTTAAACAAATGACAAATAAATAAATAAAAGCATGTACAGTATGAAGAATGGATATTCATTTTTATATTTGCTAAATATTACAATTAAAAGTGTTATTAAAATATTATTATTATTATATATTCTTTTTAAAGATTAACTTAAATGAGCATTGGATGATAAATAACCGCAAACCAACTTGCCTTTTTTCTATGAGCTCACTGGTGATGGTCCACAGACATGCGCCAGGAAGGACGTCTCGGTCAAAGACACACAGCTTCAGGTTGCATTCAGTCTGTTCTAACTGTTTGATCATCTCATGCACAAACTGGAAGTCACTCTGACAATAGCAGATGAAAGCATCAAAGGTCTCCGGTGTTAGTCCTGTCCAGTGAAGACAATGATTCGTTTGGTAATCTGCTATTCAGCTAACTCCACACAGTGTATTCAGACAGAACAGGGAAAAACTCACCTTGTGGATTATCATACAGCGTGATGCCTTCTCGCTCCTGTGTGCGCGGGCCACAGCTGTCCACCACTGGAACCTGGACAGGCTTCCTCATCTGTCTTTCCAAATACTTCCTGCAGTCATCATCTGTGCACAAACACCAACAACACACAAGAGATCTTCTATGTTGTCCGAAATAATGAAAGCCGTTTCATATGTGTTAGATGGTCACATTCTCCTGTTCTCAGAATTAGCCATTCTTTTCTCAGTTATGCTCTTTGGAGATTTTTTTCCCCCTTCTTTTTTGGGGGGGGGGTATGGTTTAATTCTTTGGAGAGAAAAAAAAATCAATAAATAGACAACTTTTGTTTTAATAAGTGGACAAGAACTGCAATAAGATGTGAAATTTCTTACTCATTTTTCTACTTGTGAGTTAATTCTGTGTGACTGTTAAATAATTCTGTCAAATAAAACAGTTCCTTTCTGTTCAAATCTCCTTTTGTAACTTGTTGTTTTAACTGACATGATAAACAATACTAATACTGATGATAATAATATTTGTGACTATAAAGCATTTAAATGAATTCATTTTAATTATTTAAACCACATAAATATTAATAAAAACAGTAATAATACTAAATACGTATTTGATGTTTATTTATATATTATAGGCTAGTATAATATAAATTATGCAATATAAATAAAATGTGGGTGACATACCTATAATGTCTCTGAGGTCTGATATGACATCTTTCCTTTCAGCTTTTTCTAAAATCGACAGTAAATTTGCTACTGTGGCCTCTGGACGAGGTTCCCACTCCGTTAAGACCTTTTCAAAGGGATACTCGCTTTTCTCGAAGTTTCTGATCTCCAGGTAGGTAAAGTCCATCATTTCGGCGACTGTCCTCCAGTCTGCTGCCACTGCGTTTGTTGGATTCAAATACAGCCCCAGTTTCTTTCGGAAACTGCAGTTTAAAGCGGTTACTGGAATCGCCTCATAGTCCATACTTGATTTTGATGCCATATTTATGGCAAAATCTCACGGTTACCCAAACTCAAGCTGTTAATCTCCGCGTTTAACTCGAGAAGAGAAAGTGATACGAAAAAGTTAAATATTTGAAGGTGTCATTTCCTGACGCTTACCGATAAGCTGCAAAAAACGACAAAATCACGACCTGCAATACGTACACTAAACAACGGGGAAGATTGAGGAAATGTTCGCCAAAAAAAATAAAACACGAGTCAGAGAAATGACGAAATACGCGTACAGCCAATGGAGTCAGAGCGCGCGAGGTTTACGTAAAAAGGCGAGGCAGGATCGGCTGCTTCAGGAGCGGTGTCAGCACTCTGCGGGTCCTGGAGAGAGTCATCAAACACTGATCTCAGATCTGCTTACAAAGGCAGCGCCTCAACACCATATATGGGCAATTTCCGCAACGTTTACGATAGAAAGTTGATGTGTGGAGGAAAAATGCTTAAAATGCCAAGCTCTTTGGTTCAGTGTGTAGAATATTGTGTTAATAATTGTCTAATTATGTTTACAGCATTGTCTGCGTTCAGTTTAGTTGATTCAATTTTGTTTTAAAATATATATAAAAAATGTTACTACAGGAAGCAATTTTGTTGACAAGAAACACATATTTTGGCTGTTGTTTTTTTGTTGTTTTTTTAATAATCAAATGGAGTAAGCCTAAGAAAAGACCTTGATATTCATGTCTAAAAATATATGCTTGAAAGTCTGATGGGAAAAAAAGTAAATGTTGTAAGTAAAGGTGCACACGTACGTAAAAGATTGTACAACTTTGTACTAGTAACCCTAGCGTTCTGAGCACAGCTGTCTTTTACAGCGTTTTCCCGCACTTTTTAAAACCAAACTGAAACAGTTGGCACTTCTCACTTCCTATTTCTGAATAAATGAAGAACATATTCTGT